CTTAAGTATTTGATTGATTTTATGCATCTAACCAGAACTCCATGACAAAATCAAAAACCCACATAATTCACGATTTTTAAGAGAAGAATAATTACTAATATTTTATTAAAATAAATTAAAAAATAAGAAATAGTTATCACCCAATTACACACTAAGCAGCTTCAAACTATTCGGTGGAGTTGTGATGTATCCTATTTTTGTACCATTTTATGCTGTTAAAAAAAAAATTAAGCACCAGGCAAACTCTAATTTCAGACAATTGATATAACTATTTAAATTCATACTTGTAAACAAACAAAAAAAAAAAATTTAAGTACATGATAAGGCATTGTTTATCATAGATTCACAAAAAAGGCACAAAATCCATATCCATGCCCATGTAAGATTCAATAATTCCTCTAACCCAACTTCCAATATCTTTACTATAAGTGCAAAAGTCTCAAAGTACAAATTCCAGGAATATTGGTGATTAGGAAAATTGAACAGAGGTTCCACTAAACAAGGAGAATTATAGGATCGAGTTATGTTTCAGGTTTAGTCTCATCCTCATCCTCTTCAATCTTTGGAGCCAAGTAGAACCTGAGACGATCCATCTCTGCAATCTTGTACTCAACCAAAACAGGCATGTCTGAAGAGAGGCTGATTGTAACTTGATTTGACAATGGAGTTGCCTTTGCAAAGGAGTTCATGTACCTCAATGCAAATGTCAACGAGACCGGCTCATGCATCTCTATAATTGTTGAATCTTCTGGCTGCAAATGCTCACACACAAATGAATTAAAATAACAGAGACAAATTGCAATTCAGACAGAACATAACCATGTGTAAAAAGCTCATCACTAAGTAAATTGGACAGAATTTACTATGAAACAGACATTAGGGGTACAAAAACATACTTTGTCTACGGTGGTATTTTGCCTGAGGACAATATTTGCAGTTCCAATATCCCCTCTGGTGGAAAACTTCACACCATCCTTTGTCACAGAGATGATAACTGCAGCCACATAACAAAACCAAGGCTAACATTTGTAGAAGCACAAATGAAGATTGATGTAAAAAGAAAATGGGAAAAATGGAAGGAACAGAAATTATTGTTAAAAAAAATCTACTAAAGGAAAAAAACAACATTTAACATTACCATTGTCACCAATACTAGCAAGATCTCTATAAATTCTAGCAAACTCAGCTGAAGGCATCCTAACAATTGCATGAAAGTCGGCTTCTGGAATCCCAAGATGCTCACTATCAACATCCATCAGTTTCATCTCAAAATCTGAGATCTTGTCTTGTGCTTTAATCCATCACCAAGTGGCAAAGAACAAAAACAAACAAGAAAAGCAAGTACCAGTTTCAGCCTAACATTAACAGAAAAAGGATTCTTTCAGAGATTTCCCATTAAGAGTCTTCAAGCAACTAATTCCAACGTTCGAATTCACATTAGACTTTCCTACCTCCAACAAAACAGTAAGACATGTATTTTTTCTGCTGGTAAGTAAAATTTATTAGTCATAGAGTTTTGACTTTCAATTTACTTTCCGCGCAACCGAACAGATAATAAATTTCCAAAAGAAATTAAAAAAGGAGTCAAACATTGAATTAAATAACAAAGAAATAAGGTAAACCCATCCTCGCCAACAATACTAGGCTAAAATCCCAAATCAAGAAACTCAATTAGCAGAAAAACTACTTCGATAAGCTAATCTGTAACATTCTAATTCGCATTAGAATTTTCCACTTTCAATGTTAGTACAGATTAGTCACATTCTTTTAAACAGAAGATTCAGTTTGGCATTATTTTGCTCGCAATCAAACAGATATCAGATTTCCAAAATAAATTCAATAATACCCGAAAGAATTAAACACCGAGAAACAAGGAATAAAGTAAAGCGAAGCCATCATCCTCAACGATACTAAGCTGGCATCCGCAGTCAAGAACCCTAAACAGCAGAAAACCCTACGAACAAAATCATCAATCCGAAAGAAAAAAGAAATAAAAAGGAAATGAAAGACTTACTAGGGCTCTCAAACATAAAGGTGACAGTATCTCTGCTGTCGTCGGCCTTGATGGTGACGATATCATCATTTCCGGCATCTTAGACATATTATCGAGATTCATACCCATAGAGATGTTCCTATCGCAGCGATAGTGCTCGAACCCCTCCGACCTCAGAAGCAGAGCCACCAGTGCTACGTGGCTCGAGTCCATCGCCCTCAGCGAGAACCCCGTCGACGACCAGTCAAAGTTGGCATCCTTGACCAGCTCCTTGATCGCATCTAGCACCTTCTTCATCAGCGACCCCTGTACCAACCTCAGTTAAAGGACATTGTGGAAACACCATTACAAAATCCATTATAAAATAAATGAGAATACCTTGGGCCGTATTCTCTATTCATTCCGAAACCCCAAGAAGAAGAAAAGAAGAAGGAGAAGAAGAAGAAGAAGAAGAAGCTGCTGGTTTCCTAATCATAGAACACCGAATTTGAAGGAAACATAAGAAATGAGCAGTGAGTGAGAGAGCAAAGGGGTGGAGCTGAGTGTGAATTGGCGGATTTGAGCTGCCATGCCGGAGTCGAAACTCCGGGATACCGATTGAGAGGAGTCAGTTGGAGTTTGACTCTTTCGGAGGACTGCATCCGGAAGCTGTGAAGGTTCATATTCGCAGATCTTTACGATCGATTATTTCAGTTCTTGATCGGAGAGATAGAGAATGTCGGTGCAGGAGTATCTTGATAAACACATGCTCTCCCGAAGAATCGAAGACGCGGTCAATGCCGCCGTGCGAGCCAAAACTCCTGATCCCGTACTCTTCATCGTAACTCACTATCTCTCTTTTCTTGTTCTGTTCAATCAAATGATTTTGGTTTAGCTTTTAGTTTCTTTATTTTTTATTTTTGTTTCCTGTTGCGTGAGATGCAGTCTAATCATATGAGAAAAGCCATTCCTTCGGTGATTACGAAGATAAAGGCGCGGCAGATCCTAGATAGTAGAGGAATTCCTACTGTTGAAGTAGATTTGTACACTAACAAAGGAATGTTTCGTGCTTCTGTCCCGAGCGGCGATGGCACTGGAATGTACTGCTCATCTCCTTTTATGTCTGTAGGATAGCATCTTTACTTATCTGAAACTATTTGTGTTTAAAATCTTGGTTTGCTAAAAAAATGGAACAGTTCAGCATGGGAAGCTCATGTAGGTTTTCTTTGCTAACTGAGCCTCATATATATCTTGATTTTCTTATACATATATGGCAGTATTTGTATGTAAATTGAACACCTTAATTTTTCTCCAGCATATGATTTTCTTCAACTTGCATGGGTTTTTGTGTCGTTTGCTTTTGGGATAAAAACTCCACACCTTTAATGCTTATGGTTCATTGGTTTTATTGTATTTAAAATCCTATGGGATATGTGGAGCCTGATGGAAATCTGATAATTTATTCCAGGTATGAGGCGGTTGATTTGGGAGATGGAGACAAGGGATCATATCTTGGAAATTCAGTGACAAAAGCTGTTAAGAACATCAATGAGAAAATTTCTGAGGCACTAATTGGTATGGATCCAACACTTCAGTCTCAAATTGATCAGGCCATGAAAGACTTGGACAAAACACAAAAGAAAGTAAGTGTTTCTCTTTTTCAACATAATTTGAACCTAGTCGAATTTGGATGAAAATTGTCTGGTGTTTGCCTGAATATGGGTTGAAAAGCCAAAAAAAAAAAAAAAAAAGGGCTAAATATTTTGAGCTTCTTCTAGTTTAGAACCCTCGCACAAAGAAAAGCTAGCAGAATGCTGGCTGTCTTATTCAAGATGCTGCATGATTCACCTTATGTCAAAGATTGTACTTGTTTGTGGCTTCACACTTGGCAGCATTATGTTTCCTTGTATAAAAGATGAACGATTTTGCAGAGTGAACTTGGAGCAAATGCTATATTGGCTGTGTCAATTGCTGCATGCAAAGCTGGAGCTGCTGAAAAGGAGGTACTAATTCTTGTTAATCTTGTTTTTGGTTTCACATTTATAGACTGGAATGTTCTGTTCTCTATTCAAAGAATCTAACCAACATGAAAATCAGGTTCCACCTTACAAACAGATTGCTGACCTTTATGGTAAATCCAACTTGACAATTGCCGTCCGTCTTTTCTGTTCTCAGTGGTGGAAAACATGCTGGTAATAGCTTGGCCTTTCAGGTATATTCCCATTCAGCTTTAAATTATCATCATTCATTTGTTAAATATTTTATCTTCTCTTTTCTTTTCTTTCCCAAGCTACAGCCGTGTAGGGTGTCAAGGTGCGAAAAATTAATTTTACCTCTGTATTTTTTGACCATCATGCAATCTATAAGTATTGTGAGTAGAATATTTGGATTTAAAAGGAAACGCTATAGCAACTATTTGTTCAGTGATTACTGTGCTATACTTGAATTGTAGTTCATTTTACATGTATGCTCTTCCTCTTATAATTTGTACCTGAAAGTGGCTGCGAAGTGGTTTAGTTAGATTATTCTATGTGTGCTAGCTTCTTATTACTTATGATGTGGTTTGAATTGAAATACCTTCAGGATATCATGATTCTCCCGACAGGGACAAGTAGGTTTGAGGAGGCCTTACAAATGGGTTCTGAGACCTATCATCAGTTGAAGGTAGTCTTTTTCCCGACTGAGTTCATTCACCTTTGGGATTTTGCTTTCGGTTTGCTTGCTATTTATTTGCGTTTCAATTTCTAATTAGTTTGGAGGAAAATTTTGCCACGCAACTAGTTGCAATCATTGCAGTAGTTTGGGAATAATTTTGACAATCCTAATCTTGAAACAATAACCTCTGTAAAGAATTCTACAATTTAATCAACAGTGATTTGGTCTCTTTCCTAT